ATAGGTTGGGGATTAATTACAGGGATGTGTGTGTTTCTCCTCCAGTAGGCTGCACCTCCAAAACTTTACTTAGAACAAATGAATGAGGGCCTTCCTGTAACCACATACATAGAGCCTCCTCCCCTAGTCTTCCCAGGCCTATATATTCTTGTCCTTCCCAGAGGCCACCTGCAATTAGGGCACAGTTGCATATGACAGGTGGCACAGGTGGTAGGAAGCAGCTGGATACTCAAGGGAGGGTCTCATGACCTTCCCCACCCCTCCATGAGGGGTACAACAGTCATCAAGCCCAGCTGGGATAACTGTTTTCCAAGAAGGTGCAGCTGAACCATTCACGATGGTGGTTGCTTGGCTTGGAGGGCAATCACTCAGGACACACCACCACACCCAGTTTATGTGTGCTGGATATTGAACTTTAGGGTGTATGTTAGGTAAATTCTATACCAACTGAGCTATCTCTGCACCCTCTAAGAGCCAATATTTTTTAAAAAAGAATTAAAAGTAAAAAACAATCATTGTACAGAATCTGAATCTCTCTGAGTTATGCCCAACAGTGCTCAACATCCTAGTCTCTAGTGGCTTCAACAATGACTAACTGGAGTTGACATATAAATATAGTCCACAGTACCTTCAGATTCAACCTGAATCAGAATAATTCAGAACAAAAATGGCATGTGTATTGAACTCACACCGGTTTTTAATCATCATTATTCTTCAGCAACTAGCTGTCTTTGTTTATTTTATATTCTTTTGTATTGGAATCTTGCTTTGTTGCCCAGGCTGGCCTTGAACTCCTGAGCTCAAGTGACCATTCTAGTCCAGCCTTCTGAGTGCTGGTGTTACAGGCATGTGCTACCACGTCATTTTATGAGAGAGGTGTGAATCCAAAGATTTTGATGTCTGAGGGTGTATCCTTGTAGCCCCAAACTCCAGCTCCCCCTCCTTTCTGAGTCCCACACCATTTCCCAGAGATTCTCTCCTGGATTTGAGCTCTAATGTTTACATGGGTAACTGGTCTGATATTGTACCCTGTGGCCACTGCCTTCCCTTCCCACGTCAATTCCGCATTGCACTAATTGCTCCCTGGAACCACACACATGCTATACTTGAATCCTTGTCTCTGGACTCCTTTCTGGGAGAACCTATACTAATATCAAATCTATCTGGCTTCTGTGCCAGCATGGATAAAACCTGAACCCTGATGACAGTGGGATCTTTTCAGAAGAGAGAAATGTGTATACAAAGACAGACCAGATGATAGGCACATATTTCCAAGCTGCCCAAGCCCTAGACTCTGCTCATAGACCTTCCAGACGTCTGCTTTCTTTTAGTCCTCAATGAATATTGTGTACAATTGGCACCTTCAGCCTTTTGATTTTTATTTCTGAGATTGTAATGAAATTATATCATTTCCCCCTTCCCTTTCCTCCCTCCAAACACCTCCAGCCTTGGCTTGCCTGGGTTCATAGCTAAACCCTGCCTGATCCCTTGCCTTCTCCTCCCTCCCCAGGGTCTCACTATAGCTGGTCTGGAACTTTTTATGTAAATCACAGAGATCTGCCTTTTTCTGCCTTCTGAGTGGTGGGATTAAATGTGCATGCTACTCCATACTCGGTACATGGCACTGTCATAAGAATGGGGCTGGAGAAGGACAATGGTGTGGACCCCTGGTGAGGGCACTGGACACTGTGTAAGGTGTGCCAAGGGTGTAACTGGTCTGGAAAGTAGAATTTGCTTCAGGGAACGGAAGAGGTGGGAG